GATCAGTTAATTAGTTAAAACAGTTAATAATAATCAATTTAAGTTTATGTTTAATAATTTGTTAAGTTGTGATGTGTATGAGCTAATACTAGATCAAATACTAAAAGTAATGTAGAAATTGGATTTGGTTGATTTTTATGCTATACATCCAATTTTTAGATAATCATTTTGGTTCATGTCCAACCATTACATTGCCTGCTTATTTATTTTTTAAAATGGTAAAAATATGGTAAAAGTTTTTATAACCAAAATAAAAAAATATGAATGTATATTTGGCGTATTTATTAATATTCTAAAACTTCAATTAAGAAATTATATATTTATTCTTAAATATGTCTAATATTAAATTATATTTACATCTGAAAGAATTATTTAAAATGAGATTAAGTTAGTTCATAGATTTTATTTTTAGTATAGAACTTGATCAAAGAAATGAAGTCTCAAAACAAATCATAATTTTTAATTTAAATTTTATTAAATTTTTATTTAATACAAATTTTCACGTAAAATGTTTTAATATTATAAAAATAATTAATTATTTGTGAAATGAAGTTACTATTATAAAAAATACTTAAAAAATTGTCTTTTAGTAGTGTGAAAATCCATTAACTAAAGATTTAATTTGATGAGATATAGATTTATTTATTTATTTGGAAACAAAATCAATGAATGTGGCTAATAGGGAGGGTGCTTATGATTATACACATTTAATTTCTTTTCACACCCATCACGTGTATTAAAATATATATAATTTATGCATAAATATTAGTACATATGAGTGTACAAATAAATCAAAAAATGAAAAAAAAAATGTACAAAAGAAATTAATGTGTGTAATTAAATCAAAACATTTTGAAGGTTCTTAATTTTTATCATGAATTTTAAAAATTTGAAAGTAGTTATATATGGTATGAATAATATAGTAATATAGTAAGAAGTAATTTTTAATTTTTTTTTTAAGGGAAATAAAAATCAGTAGGAGAAGATTAGGTTGGAAAGCTATAGAATTTTTTTTTTTATCTTTCCTTTTGAAAACTATAAATTACGAAATTATTAATATTTTGAAAACTATTACTTTAATGGATTAGCTAATACTATTTTTTAATTCAATAACTCCACAAATTCATTATGAGGTTTTGAAACTCTCACAATACGCCTCACGAAAACCTCACTTTACTTATATAATATAGATAGATAGATTTATATTTGTTTTAAATATTTTTTTTAATTCACAAATTATTTTTTTTAGATTTAAAAAATAATAATTTAATAATCTCATCATTAATTATAATGTATGGGAGAAGTTGAAAAGTGTAGCAATATGTACAGAAGAAGTCAAAAAGACTTATGGATTAGAAGAAATCAATAAATGTTAAGATTTTTTTTTTAAATCAAAAATTTTTTAAATTAAGATTGAGATATTAGAGCTTCCACAAGGTTTGTGGGTTAGAAAAAAACCTCTTTTTCCTTATATAATATACTAGCCTATCACTCGTGCTATGCACAGGATAATTATAGATATTTATATTTGTTTTAGATTTTTTTTACTGCAATAATTATGAGAGAAGTCAAAAAGTCTTGTGAGTTGAGAGAAGTTAATTAATGCTGAGATTAAATTTTTTTTTAGAAAAACAAAAAATTAGAAAATTAGAATTGGCATATTAGAGTTCCTACAGACCTTGGGGGTTAAACCCCCTTTTTGCTTAATATATAGTATAGATAAATGGATGTCTATCATTATTGACATGCAAACATAATTAATGTCAATGAAGATATGGAATTTATTGGATTGTTAGTTACATTTGACATGTGAAGTTTATCTTCCATGTGTTTCTTTCTATTCATAACTAAAATGACCACTATGTAAATTATAATCAAGTAACACATCTTCAATTATAAAAAATAAAAAAATAAAAAACATAAATTACAATAGGTCATCATTAATATCAGAATGAGTCATAACTAACTATTACTTGATATATAGTCATAACCAAAATAACAACCACAAGAAGTTATAACTAAATTATATCTAACACTATAATGTGTTATAACTAAAGACCATGATAGATTGGGAGATTGGAGCTCCCACAAGGCTTGGGGTTAAAAACTCCCTTTTGCTTAATATATACTATAGATATAGATTAGCCTATCACCCGTGCTATGCACAGGATAATTATAAATATTTATATTTGTTTTAGATTTTTTTTAATATATAAATTATGTTTTTTAAGATATTTTATAAAAATAATTTAACAATCTTATCACTAACCATAGTGTATAGGAGAAGTTAAAAAGGGTACTGCAGTAACTATGTACGGGTTGTATCTATAATTATCTGTATGAGGGGATTTTAATGCTAATTAGAGAATTTTGATCAAATCAATAAATGTAAGCATGTAGAAAGACATGTGGATTGAAAAAATGTCATAAATGTTGATCAGGGGATATATATGTGAATTGTGATTTTTAAATGTCTTTTTTTTTAAATGTCTTCTCTTTTTTTTTTTCTTTTTTATATTATATTAAAGTTTAATATTTTGATATGTGTGGAAAATGCTAGAGGTCCCAAATTTTCTACCAAATAAATGACCAAATGTCTCACATGGGTGTGGGGCCCACAAAATTGCGGACCCCACACCCATGTGAGATATTTTGTCATTTATTTGGTAGAAAATTTAGTGTCCCTAGCATTACCCAATAATCATATGTGTTGTACTTTTCAAGGAATTTTTTTTATGCTTGTTCTTAATTCATTAAAGTGTTATTATAATGGATAATAATCATATATGTTTGGACTTTTTAAGGAATTCATATGTGTTGGACTTTTCAATAATTTTTTTTTTTTTACATATTCTTAATGCATTAAAGTATTATTTTAAGGGTAAGGCTTGGGGATTGTGAGAAATTAATAAATGCTAAGATTTTTTTTTTTAAATAAAAAAATCAAGAAATTTAGATTGGGATATTAAAACTCCCACAAAACTTGTAGGTTGGAGATAGATATAAATAAATAGATAGATATAGATATAGATATAGATATTTATATTTGTTTTAAATTTTTTTAATATACAAATTATTTATTTTGAAAAATGTACTGCAATAATTATGAGAGAAGTCAAAAAGTCTTGTGAGTTGAGAGAAGTTAATTAATGCTGAGATTAAACTTTTTTTTAGAAAAACAAAAAATTAGAAAATTAGAATTGGCATATTAGAGTTCCTACAGACCTTGGGGGTTAAACCCCCTTTTTGCTTAATATATAGTATAGATAAATGGATGTCTATCATTATTGACATGCAAACATAATTAATGTCAATGAAGATATGGAATTTATTGGATTGTTAGTTACATTTGACATGTGAAGGTTATCTTCCATGTGTTTCTTTCTATTCATAACTAAAATGACCACTATGTAAATTATAATCAAGTAACACATCTTCAATTATAAAAAATAAAAAAATAAAAAACATAAATTACAATAGGTCATCATTAATATCAGAATGAGTCATAACTAACTATTACTTGATATATAGTCATAACCAAAATAACAACCACAAGAAGTTATAACTAAATTATATCTAACACTATAATGTGTTATAACTAAAAATCACGAAAATCATAATTGCGACATATGACAGACACTTTTTTTTTTTTGCGGTACGTTTTATAGAACTTTTCTACTAAAATAAATCATTTCTATCTTAACTTATCTTCTTTTTTAATTTTCCAATCCACCTATAAAATAGTTACTCCCTAATATTTGTATAAAATTTAATCCCAAATCCTTTAAATTAAAATTCACATTTATCCAAATGAACTCTTAATATTTAAGTTTAGTAATATCTCATTGTTGTTTATTATGAAAAAAAAATTAATCACTTTGTTTGGTTCCCATTTTTTAAAAACAGTTTTCAGAAAATTCTACACTCTTATTTTTCGTGTTTTTTGTTTTTACTGAATTTTTTAAATATTTTATGCAAATTTTTTACTTTTTAGACACACCTAACATAAATACACCTAAAAAGTAAAAAAATTGTAAAAAAAATCTTTTAAAAATTCAATAAATACCAAAAATAAAAAAAAATATAAGAATTTAGTACATTTTTTGTATTTCTTAATTTTTTAAAATATTTTTTCACAATTTTTTTACTTTTTAGACACATCTAAGTAAGGTGCATCTAAAAAAAAGTAAAAAAAAATGTTTAAAATTTTAAAAATACTCACTAAAAACAAAAAAATACGAAAATTAAAAAATTCAATTTTTAAAAAATTTAATCCAAAAAACTTAAACCAAACACAGTGAATATTATTATTAATTTATGTCTCTTTTGATTGAATTCTTAGTCACGCCACTGATGATGATGATGATGGTCATGGTGCATGGAGTGGTTGAGACTTTCAATTCCTTTCACCTTTTTTGAACTAGTCAATTTAAAATAATTTTAGGCATCTTTAATAAATTGGCAAACTAGCAAGAACAAATGAGATGATCTTACTCACTGTGATGAGTTTGCACCCGCCTTATTTTAATGATATTTGCCGTAATATATTTTGTATTTCGCTTTTCATCAATATAATCCTTTTTTATTGATAAAAAAAATTGAAAATAATTTCACAATCTCAGTGATGCACAGCCTACTTACCGTATAAACCAGCTACTGTTACTTCTTTCCTCAATTTTGGTGAACTTCAACAAAAACAATTTTCTTTAAGTAATTTTTTGATTTTCAATATTTTCATAGTTTTAAAAAGCTGATGCATTAGGTAATTGTTACAAAAATTATTTTTTGGTTAAGAAAAAAAAGCTCTTTATGAATTTTTCCAAAGTTTTGCTTTTTGATAAAAAAAAAAAAAGAAAATTACCACATTACCATCATTAATATGGTATAAGTAAAGATACACAATGAAATTTAAAAAAATATGTTTTTAAGCTGCTAAAATTCTCAAATATATTTTTTTTTTAATGAAAAATTTGCTTTTAAATTATAACTAAACAAACCAATAGACTTTTTAACTTTTGACTATTTTAATTTAAAAAAAAAAAACTGTTTATTTAGAGATTACCAAATAGAGGTTAATCTATTAAAAGACACTCAAGTAAAATCAATGATATTTCTGAGAAATCTCCTGCAAATAGAGGAAAAGCTCCTGGGGTTGTGATAGGATGATCATGTGGTCAGCATTTGCAATGGACTTGACTTCATCAGGTGGGCTGTTCTGAATAATCCATTTCTGGAATTCGAGTTTCATAAGTTGGTCTTCTTCGCACACTATGTAAACCCGACTCACCGACCCGTATCTTGCTTCTGTTAGAAGCGATTCCTTGGCCACGTCATCGAAGAACATCCTGTTGGGCCTTACTAACGCCTTCGCTAATTCCAGGTCCTGCATGAATCGCAACCCAATTAGGCCCAAATCTCATTATTAGAAGAAAATTTTCCATTTGAGATGACCATTGTCTTCTTATCAAATTAAAAAAATAATAATAATAATTTTAAGAAATTTATTTATATTTATTGTTATTCAATTAAAAAAAATCGAATAACCTCATTAGGAAAATAGTATAAATGCATTTGTTTTAACCAAAGTTAGGTCTTTGATTCAATTTACCTTTTCCATATTGCCATATAATCGAATAAGGCCACCTACTTCCTTCTATTCCTTTTTTTTTTTTTTTTTTTTTGGGATTACAAATATTTTTAGTTTAGGAGTACTTACGTGTAGATCTTAATAAATGGATTTCTTATTTAATAGGTCCTATGAGAAAATTTTATCTTAAAAAAAGTGTCACTAATTATAAGTTTTAGCGATAATTTATAAAAATCATGACAAAAAAGTCACTAGTTGTTAATTTTTTAGCGACATATATAAAAAATTGTCACACAAAAATTATTTTTAGCGACAATTTTATCAAGACTTATTTTCAATAGGACTTGATGGGAATGAAGTCCAACTATTAGGACCTATTGGTAGTTTACCCTTTCGTTTATATACATTTCATTGATTCATGTGGTTGTTTATATCAGTAAAAGTAACTGGATGAACTAATAAAATTAAAAGGGACAAAGAACACTGCATAGAAATAGACATATAATTCAGATTCCGATAAATTACAAATACACCCTCTAAAATTTGCTTAAAGTACAGATTGTCCCATATAGTTTGAAAAATTACAAATACCTTCTTGTTAGTATTTTTTTATTTAACAGAATTAACTAAAAAAATGAAATTCATAATTGCTCTCCTATATAATAATAAAATTACATAAATTACTAATTGAAACATATTTCTAATATCATTAAAAACCGTTAATTGACTTAATGATTTATTAATAAAAGAGACAATTTGTTGTGAAATTAGAAATTTCAGGGGGTGAAATATAATTTCTAAAATCACAGTGGGTGAATCAAATCCCAAAAGGTATATTTATAATTTACCCAGTTGGATTCTATCTACATTAGATGCAGATTAAATCGAGCGTAATTTTTTTTTCTAAACAAAAAGAAAATGATTCTCACGTGTATTTATTAATTTGAGTTGTATAGTCTGTGTTTAGTATAAAAATATATATATTTAAGAAAATGATTTTTTATATAACCTTTTCACTTTGTTTCATATGAAAACTATGTGAAAGTCATTTTATTTTAACTTTTAAAGAAATTTCATCTAAAATGAGATGAATGGTTTTTTTTTTATTTTTTTATCACCTTCTTACAAAAATACAAAATGCCCATTAAAATGGTTTAGTTACAAAAATATCACTTGAACTCTTTTTGGGTGCAGTTTTCTGTGAAACTTTTTTAATAATGTCATAAATTAAAAATTTAGACACAGAAAAATATAAAAAAATAATATATTATGTAGATTCACTTTAGGTGTAGGGTCCACTATAGGAGAGCAGAATGTGTGCAAAATAATCTAATTCAATCACATCTGCATTAATTTTTGAATTTTATAACTTTAATTACTCGACAGCATTACTTAAATTGCCTTAAACACTGACCTCTGCTTGGCAATGTTGATAGACATTGGTGGCCATGTACTCTGGACCAAAGATTACTGATGTCGGTGGATTTTCTGGGCCTTGATCGAATGTAAATCGGCAATCCTTAGTAGAGTGTAATGAGCTCCTCTTAAAGAACTATATAATCCATAAACAAAAGCAATAAATAATTACTATTTTGAAATGAAAATTGTATGGAAAATGATATGTAACCCTATTTTTTAAATTTATTTTTTGGATTTAATGATGTATAAGAAAAATAATTTATTAATGATTGAAGAAGATATAAAAGAGTAAGTTACTTTAAATATTTTAATTGATTGTCACATTATTAAATTTAAAAATAGATTTAATTTTCGAGTTAGAATAGCAATTTAGTGCAAAAACCAATTAACTAACATTTATTTTTGGAGAAATTATCCTCTCTTCCAAGAATTTCAATTAGACTATATTCCCTTCCAATTATATTGGTTGTTTTATATAATATATAGGGAAAAAAATAAGAAACAATGGATCTATAACTAATAGAATTGTAAGAATATATCATGTAAAATATGAGGCAGACCTATCTAATAATTTTATTTTTAATTTTTGAGTTCGAAATGGGTTCTCTCTAGCTCGGCGTGCTGTTGTTGAGTTTGGTGGCTCCACCTTGATAATATCAATCACTAGCTTAAGAGAACTACTTGAGCAAAATATCTAGTTAAAAAATTAAGATGATTAGATACTATCTAGCTCTTAGAATTATCTTAATTTTTTTATATAGATAGTATGTTCAGTAAATCTTATAAGATGAATGATTCGAAATTAACAAAATTGATTTCCAGATAGGCCCAACAAACTGAGACCTAACAACACAATACCTAACTGGAGTAAATGTATTTCTTTTTAACCTCCGTTTGTTTCAACATAAAATTTTTTAACACTAGAAATTATTTTTTCATGTAATTAATTATGCACATAATTTTTCTTTTTAAATTTTGGCTATGAAGTTGACACTTGAAACATAAAATTTTAAGGAAAACAATCTGAAAAGATCAATCACATAAGAGTTGTTGTAAGGGTTATAATGAAGAATTTGTATTACTTACTTCTTGTATGAGAGTAGCAGGAGGGTGTTGACAGTTGGGCATGTAGGCTGTGATGAAAACACCAACCGAGATCTTCTCAGGGAACCTCTCCATAGCCAGAGAAATGCCAAGCCCACCATAGCTGTGCCCCACCAAAACCACCTTCTCATCATCACGATCAGGCAAAGAGGCCATAAACTCCATCAAGGGCTGCAAGTAGTCGGAGATCGAAGCCATCTCATCGAGCCTTCTTGGGTCCACCCCACAACCACCCAGGTCGAGGGCGGTGACACGGTGGCCCGCCGCCCGGAGCAGAGTGGCTAGCTTGTACCAGCACCATGCTCCGTGGCAAATTCCATGAACCAAAACAAAGTGCTTTGCACTCTCCTCCATTGATGATTCTTGTTGTCTTTAGTTTTGGATTTATGAATGGTTTATAGGATCATTGAAGGAATGGAAGACAAAAAAGAGTTAAAGAGGGATTATTTGTGTGGGGATGAGAAGTTTCACACTTTGTAGGGTATATAATTAACAGTAGAAGAACAACCACAGGTCATAGTCGTTGTCTTACATGACAATAGTCAGAAACATAATAATTACAATAAAAGAAAAAATGTTTATGACTCATTTATTGTCAATTAAATATTTTTTTAATAATATTATATGTATTAATTGTTATCAAAAATGTTAGAGGCTCTAAAAATTCTATCAAAAATTTTATCAAATGTGTGGGACTCACATTGTGTGGGTCCCACACCCATGTGAGACATTTGGTAAAACTTTTGGTAGAATATTTGGGGTCTCTAGTATTACTCAATTGTTATATCAATTACTATACTAATAGATAATATAGTATAATTTTAAAAATTTTAAATTTTTATAATTTGTATAATAGATAAGATGATAATTTTAAAATGGTTATGTCATAATAATAAATGTTATTATGACCATATTTTGATGTGCAGCTCGTGCAACAACACCATTTTTTCTCATATGTGGTTTTGTATCATGACTAGCGAATTGTGTTTGTTATTTTATATATTTAAATTTGTAAATAATTTTATTAAACTTTAATCTCACGTCATTAATCTAAGTTACTCAAATTTGTCTAATATATTGTTAATTTCTCTGTATTTATTGCAAATTAATTTTGAGTTAAATGTTTTGATATGGTATTTGATATGGTCATTTGTGCATCAAAATATTTTATTTAAAACGAAGTAAAAATAACTATTCTGTAAAATAGTGATTAAGACCAGGTGTCAATCCTTAGAGACTAATCAAGTTGTTTTGATACAAAAATAATAATTAAAGCAATTTAAGAAAATTGATTTTGAAATTAATAAAACTAAAATTAATCAAACATAAAATAAATAAAATAAAATAAGAAATTTCTTATGGTTTGGAATCTACCACTAACCTTATAATCAAGGGTTATTGTATTAGTTTTCAAAAAATCATTGATTTGGATAAAATTATATAAGTTGATCAAAAATATATCGTCAAGAGAATTTGTATATTAAAACCAGAAAGTTACAAATCATCTTCACTTAGCACGGTCCGTCACCACTAAACTAAACTAAACTAAGGTTGATGCACGACTCATCTTACTAAATATGACTCATCTAACAATTTTAATACACTGTAGTGAAAACAATTATATAAAATGATTTTAATAAAACATTTATTGCACAAAAATATCTAAAAGTTATACAATTTATCCAAATCAAATCAAAACTGAAAATATTTAATATAATAAATCACAATTATTTGATCAGGGCTTCATTTCCACCCTAAGATGAAAAATTATTTCCTAACACTCATACCACACTAATATATAAAAATTATACTCTCCCACCTTCCATTTCTTTCTATTTTTCTCTTTTTTTCTCCCTGCTTCCTTGGCCGAAACCTCTGCCTGCTCCCCCCTCCCCTCCTTTCTTTCTTTCTCTTCCTCTTCTTTTATAACCTTGAACCTGCAAAAGAAAACAAAACAAAATAAATATAATAATATAATATAATATTTTATTATATATTGACGTGACTGGCTTCTCGCGCCCTGGTAAGACATTATCCGTTCTAGTGAGGTGGCGAAACGATGCCCGTCGGCCTCACGGCTTTAAAATGCCTCTTACAAGGTGGAGGGGGCCAGTACGCTTATAAGTTAGTTGCAAGTGTCCCTCTCAGGCGATATGAAATTGCCTCAACATAACCCCCTAGCGGACTGGGCCGCGAACAGCGGGAGAGTTTGCCGGACGACCTGCATGGGCCACCAAACTGACGTGACTGGCTTCTCGCGCCTCGATAAAACATTGTCCACTTTGGCGAGGTGGCGAAACGACGCCCGTCGGCCTCACGGTTTTAAAAGGCCTTTTACAAGGTGGAGGGGGCCAGTACGCTTATAAGTTAGTTGTAAGTGTCCCTCCCAGGCGATATGGAATTGCCTCAACATATATATATATATATTAGTATATGCCCGTGCTCGTGTCCGTGTCCGTGAATAAATGAATAAAAAAGAGAAAACAAAAAATAAATAAATAAGGGAGGAAAATTAAAAATAAATAAATAAGGGATGAAGGTGGAATCATGGAATCATTCAAGAGATTATTCATAGGATCATGATAGGGTGGGTGAGAAAAGAAAAAAGTAAGACAGAGAAGCAAGAAAATAACATACATCACAACCGTTATTTTATAATTTAAACTGATTTAAACAATCTAAATATCTTAATTGGACAAATGTATATACGACATTTTCAAAAATTTTCTGGTCAATAGATATATATATATATATATATATTTATATATATAATTTAAGTGGTCAAAGAGGGATGTGAGAGGCGTGCGGCCTCTTTTTCTCTTTCTTTCTTTTCATGTTTTTTTTCTTTCTTTCCACTTTTGCTTCCATTGCTTTCAGCGGCCTCTCCTTTATTTGTTTTTTTTTTCATTTTTTAATTTATTATTTATATAATATATTATTTATACTAATTAATGTATAAATACTAATATATATATAGACATAAAAATCACACAAAATTATAAAATTATACCAATTAATGGACTAATAAAATATATATTAATGGCTCAAATGTGTAACATTTAGAATCCGATCACACCTCCAAACTTACATTTTGCTAGTCTTCGAGCAAAACAAAACTAAAAACACAATAAAATAAAATTTATCTATACCATTTTCGTAGAGAACACAATTACATTTAGCGTATGCAACTAGCCTTTGAACCCTTAAGTTATCCTAATAGACAAATTGTAGTCTCGTGAGGGTTTGTAGAGAATTCAATTTTTTTTTCTTTTTTTACAGAGATAATTGTTAATTTTAATATATTAGTAAAAGAATTATCAGAATTTAGAATACTAGCAATCAATAAAAATAATTTTATATATCTCAAATCTCAGTGTGTGTGTGTGTAAATTATAGCCAACAAAAATATTATTTAGTCTCAAAATGAAATAAGACTCTAGTTCTATCATAAGCATGCTTCAACTCAATTCTCTATCGTTTACTCTCAACGAATGAAACATTCTAAAATGGTTCAACTCACCAGTGTATATATGTGAGAGAATACTTATGTTTAACAAAACGAAAATTTCTCACAATTAGCAATGAAAAATGTTGTATAAAATGGTGTTTAAATTGGGTAATTGAAACAAAATAAATAAATTTATGTTTTATTAAATTAACTGAAAGAACATCAAATAAAACTATACTTGATAAATTACATCATAGAGCATAATATGAAACAAGACTAATATAAGAATATATTTAATCTGAATATGATAATAAGAAATCAAAGCAAATTATGTGTGATACCACAGTATCCTTAAAACAGATTAGCCGCCTCACCGTGAGTGCTGGAGGAACATCGACTTCTGTCTCCCAAGATAAAATGGTTTAAACAGGCTAACTTAGAAACACCTTCTGTTAGCTTTGGCGAACTGACAATAGCAGCACTCTCTCACAATAAGAAATTTCTGGCAAACTGACTAAAGAATGGAAGAAATAATTTCTGTGTTTGAGACTTGACAGGAGGGTCTCAATTTATACATATATAGGGGAGAGAGGAGAAGCCTCCAGCCTTTATGGCTTGTCACTAATGCACCATTAACCTCTGCAATAAAGCCAGGAGTTACAAACCCCATTAATACACTATTAACCTCTACAATAAATGCAGAAGTTACAAACCCCATTAACTCTTTCATGAAGCTAACTTCATGGGGCAATTTCTCATTCAATTCTCAATAGTTTTTGGCTATTCTATTTGTGGTGTAAAGATCTTATTGCAAAGTATCTAGACCTACTTGAACCCAACACAATAGATTGTTGGGATCCACTTCAATATTTAATTAAAGTCACCAAAAATTCATTTTTTCCAACATAAAAAAATAAAAATATATATATACATAGTTTCGTGATAGGAAAGCCGAAAATAATGAAATTATGTCAATTTGTCATTTGAAAAAGCATACTAATCCCGAGATCAAATAGAACTTTATTTTTTGGTTGTAATGTTGGGTCAATGGGAATTATTTATAGAATTGGGTAGAGGGTGAAAACAGGTGTCCAAGAAATAAATCAAATTAATGCAGCATATGTAGAACATTACTTCACTAACCCGTCCTTTTAACTCTTTTTTAAAAAAAAAAAAATATATATATATATATATATATTCAAAATTTTTTAGTCAATGTTATTTTTTTATTTTTAGTTTTTAATTTTTTTTCTCTTTTTTTATTCTTTTTTTTTTTAACATAGAAGTAAAAATATTTTTTTTACAATTTCCTTGTTCCACTCAGAAGATATCTTCCTCCCAAAATAACAGAAAAAATCCATTATTGAGACATCGGAAGAAAAGACTAAATGAATAATAAAAATAAAAAAAATCTATAAAGGCCCAATGAGCTAACTAGCGATAATTGAAATAAGAAATTTTTTTTTTTATTTTTTTAATAAAGCTCAAATATAGAAAGATAGCCTAAAATTATTTATCAAAATATAGGATAATTTATATGTTACACGGACAAAATTGCATAAAAATGATAATTTCAATGTTTACGGCCAATTTGAAAAAATAATGAGACTTAACAATGACATAATGAGTTGTCAAAAAAAAATTAAGAGTAAATGTAATATAACCCTCCAAAAAGAATGATAAACTCAAAATTTTACACGGGTTATAGCTTCCACATTAGACATCAAGATTTCAAGTCTAAGTCCAAAAATTAATCAAAGAATATTTAAGCGGCTATGTCCATGTGCACATCATTTGAGATGAGACACAAAATTATTTGTAACTAAAAAATAGTATAACAAACTAAAATATAATTAAAATGCTAAGGTAACAATAAGCATTCAGGCATTCTTCAATTTTCTTCTCCATTTCTGTTGGAAGAAAAACCAGAGTGTTTTGAGAGCCTTACCAGTTTCCCATTGTACCTAGTTAAGATCCTTGCAGTTGCTACTAATACAATTGTAAGTTATTTTAATGTTTTAATGAATTGT